CAATATATATATATATATATATATATATATATATATATATATATATATATATATATATATAACAGATTTACCTGAAAAGGTAAAAATACAATTGAAATAAATAGTCATTGCATCAAAAGAAGAAATAAAAAAGTGTACAATTGCAAGTTCATTATTTTGGCTATACTTTTTCAATTCGGTAAAAATAATAATGGAGCTATGGCCAATTTTTTTATTGGTTTGACTCGAAAATAAAAATATATTATTAAAATAAATAGATATTATATATAAAGAAAAAAACAGGAAATATACACAACTGGTACTCCATTATTTTTGCTAAAAGTTTTTTATTTGGCTAAACTGATAGAGTTCCTACCAAACGTTTCATAAATTCGGCCAAAAACAAAAAAAGAAATATGCAGTTGGAACAAATAGACATTATATCTTAAAAGAAATTAAAAATAATGGAAGTTAGAGTAAAGTCCCATTTTATATTAAGATGAATCAAGAAGAAAGACATAGTTGTAACAAATAAATCATTATATATGATTATTAAAGTTAAAAAATAACCTATTTGGAAGCTGATTTTTCAATTGTTCTTCACTCCCACGCGCTTAAAAGAGAGTGCACCCACATTCTTTGCCACATCAGCATCCAGGGGGTAATGGCTCTCAAAAGGCCAAGTTGAGGAGGATAATTAAGATCACTAATAGTTTAAGGCTGTAACTAATAATCCGTGTCAAGTTTAGATTTTTTTTTTTTTTAAGTATTCTGCCTAAATTATTCGAACAAAGTAATGCTCTTAAAGTAGGCAATCTCCACATGCACTGGATTTCAATTATTTACTTTGTAGTACGTACCTAAGTTATAATTTCATAAATGATCATCTCACCTTATTTTATTGTATCAAGCGATTAAACTACTTTTTAGAACAAAAAAATACTCCACTTTGCCTAAATATCAAAAGATGTCACTAAACTATTTTTTAGTATACAAAGAATCACTCAACTTTGCGAAAATATCATAGAAAGTCACTAAACAATTTTTTGTAACAAAAAAATACGTCAACTTTGCCAAAGTATCATATAAAATGTACTCATCTTTTATTTCTTCCTAATGACTTTCTATGATACTTAAGCAAAGTTGATTAACCTTTTTATTACAAAAGTAGCTTAGTAACTTTTGTGATACTTAAGTAAAGTTAGGCAGTTTTTTCAGGACAATAAAAGTAACTTAGTAACTTTAGTGTAATAAAGTAAAAGTTGAATGACCATCCATGAAGTTAAATCCAAAAAAATTAAAGTGCAAATAAAATAAAATTAACTTGAAACCTGGAGAGCAACAACTATGGATACTTCAAAGCAATTTATTTCACATTTTTGAAGATTTCCCACCAAAAAATCTCTCCAAAAAAGAGGTACAAAGGAGGAGGAGGTAAAGCGATAAATCAAGTATTAATACAGAAGGAGATAACCTTGTAAATACAGATATGGCTGAAAGGGAAAGCCCCATGCTATTACTGATGCAGAGACTATTTTCTCAACTATACAAATTAGAGGTGGATGCTGTTAGAGGTATTTTAGTTCTCAGTTAAAATCGAACTGCCACACAAAGAATTACAGCCTACCAATTTCAAAAGC